TGATGACTCCAAGATCCTTTTCTGCCTCTGCACTGACAAGAAGGGAGTTCCCCAGCCTGTAGGTATGGTGCCAGTTTTTCCTCCCCAGGTGCATCACCTTGCACTTGTCAGTGTTGAAACGCATCCTGTTTTAATCTGCCCACCCCTGTAACCTGTCCAGGTCCAATTGCAGCCTATTCCTCCTTTCTAGCGTACCCACATCCCCCCACATCTTAATGTCATCTGCGAATTTGAACAAGGTGCTTTTTACCCCCTTGTCCAAGTCGCTGATGAAGATGTTGAACAGTGCAGGCCCGAGGACCGAGCCCTGGGGGACCTCCCTGCCCACATCCCTCCAGGTCAAATAGGGCCCATCCACCACCACTCTCTAGGTGTGGGCCTCCAGCCAACTAGTGACCCATCTGACTGTGTAAGTGTTGACACCACAGTCTCCTTGTTTTTTAATGAGAGTGGGGTGAGAGACAGTGTCGAAGGCCTTCCTAAAGTCCAGAAAGACTACATCCACTGCGACACCTGCATCTAAGGATTTGGTGACCTGGTCGTAGAAGGCCACCAGGTTGGTCTGACAGGACCTGCCTCTAATGAACCCGTGTTGGTTGCCCCTAAGCATAATCTCCCCTGCTGGCCCCTCGCGGACATGCGCCAGGATAATTCTCTTAAAAAGCTTCCCCAGGACCGAGGTAAGACTAACTGGCCTATAGTTTCCTGAGCCCTCTTTCCTCCCTTTTTTAATCAGCTGCTAAATATTTTGAAAGGCCCTTATGGTATCTTATACCAAAATCTGTGAGCATGAGACCAACTGGAATAGTAGACTGAAACAGAACTGCAGAAATGCTTCAGATTGGGTGTGGAGCTGGGCAGAGAAGGCTCCTGGAGATTTGTAACACGTTCCCCTGAGATTTCAGTTGCTGCTGCCTCTTTGTACTGTTGTGTGCACCTTACATCTTAGGAGTTTCAGTAACTGGGGTTTTTTTCCCCCCTCATGGTCATGGGTTAGGATTTGGGAGACTGGAATAGGTTCTAACATAGCTCTGCAACTAGTATGTATGTGGATGAAGACTGTAACCAACTTCTTCCCAAGACAGCATAGTCAATATGAACACAGTTTTTTTATTTGATTATACCTGTTACCAGTGGTTTAAGTTCTCTAGTGTAGGCCGGGCCTAACTGTGCTGAGACTGCAAAGGTTTACCCTGATTTACGCTGACAAATGGTTGGTATTAATTTTTGAAGGAAAATCTGGAGGCTGTGTAAGTCACATCAAATCACTATGCACGATCTGGCATAAGCAGCTCTATGGTAACTTCTCCTCCAGCCTTTGCCTGACTATTCACACATGGGACATTCTGTAGGGCATCTAGCATTCATAAAGACTTTTCTCCTGGATTAGGGCAATGACATCAAATTCAGTCACAGTAACTTTCAGCCCTATCATCACAATACTTTACCACCTTATCCCAAACATTAAGTATTCCCTCTTCAGAACACTTCCAGGAAATGCTGTTTCTTTGTTAGTAAGCATATACGTGAAAAAAAGTTCCAGGGAAGTACAGTGTAGGCCACTTGGTGGCTATGCCAACTAAGACATTGCAGTTTTGTTGTATATTTCTTCCAGCAGTTTTAGAAAAATAAAGGACCTTTACTGATCAAGCTGCTCATTTTGAATGCCCACATTTATCTCATTTTACCACATTTTACTAAGAAAGTGTGCCAGGATTCTTGTGATTTCTCCTGTTTTCTCATCTTTTAGGAACTTCCTGCCAATTTAATATTTTATAGCAGGAACTCATTTTCCAGTTCTCATTAACCTACAGTAATGTAATTTGTGGGTGTGTCTAATTTTTCTATAACTTTTTCCCAGTTTTTAGCAAAGCAACTCAGACTTATCCGTTACACTATTTGTAGTCTGAAATAATGTCCATTCATTTTCTAATAGATAGTACCACCTTCATACTTATAAATCTGGCATTATTAGATAAATTTCAAGCCATCTTTCACCAGATTATACCAACAAAAGCAGAAAAGTTGCATCTACAAATGAAAAACAAAGAGCAAATGCTGTCTTTAGCAGCTCATATACATGTTGAGGGAGGCGGCTCCCTCCACATGTTACGGTGCATTGGAGCAGACTCCAGTGTCATGTGTATCAGTGTCACATGTACTAGTGTCATTTGATGAGCTTTACTTCAAAGCACCCCATCGCCATTTTTCAGCACAGAGGCACTGATGCATGTGATACACAGGTCGCAGAGCTGTGCTAATTAAAGCACTCTCCTCCTACCTTCCAGAGCACACCTATAAACACCCTAGTATTTTGTGCTGTATTTCAATTTATGAATGGCTAATGCCGCTCTTTCAAGCAACATACTGAATGTCTAGGCTGCTTGTTGCAGGGACTGTTACATATTTGGTACATTTTACCCATATATAGGGAAAATGTGCATAATGCTGTATAGATACAATAATCCATAGATCGATCCATTTAAGTCAGTGATTCTCAACAAGGGTGCCATGCCACTCTGGGATGTCTTGAGATCCTTTCAGGGATGCTGTGGAGTACACACTATTAGGTGTGATTTGATTTACAAGATAAACCCATAGTTTTCATATAGAAATCCATGGTGTTAAACTTTTTGATCTGTTGTGGTTGTTCTGGGTTCTATGCAACAGAAGAATTTGCTCTCGTTATTTTTCTGTAGTCAAAAAAGAGTGAAAATTAAGAGCTGATATTTTCTGAGGAATGGGTCAAATCTATGAAGCCTAGAAAGGTTAAGAAACTCTGATTTAAGTGAACTATGGTGCTCTTGAAATTTCTTAGCAGATTTACAGACCTGTGAAATTTTAAAGTATGTTCTTACATTTGATTTAATTTTATTCTGCCCGATTAGTCATTTTGTTTTGATAAACTAAGCCTATCATTGTATAGAAGCTTTTGCTCAAGAGGAAGGAAGAATTACTCATGGCTTAATCTCTGCTTCCCTTAAAATTGCAGTCTCCCTCTTACAAATAATTTTTTTCTTTTCTCTGTCAAATAAACTGTCCTAGGCTATGTGACTTTTTTGAAACTCTGGAAAGGAATTTCGTAGTCTAAAGACATGACTACTGGGTAAGAAAATTGTTTTCTAGTGGGGGACACTCATCATGATGAAGCAAATGACTTTATGAATAGTACTGAAAGCTACTGGACCCCATTATCTTAGCTTGAAATTTTGGTCTCTCTTATCTACGTTTTATCAACAGTTTTACCCATCACTATCACATCTGTATCCCTGCATTGATAATTAGGTAGAAACAATTGTATTATGGATAAGTTTCTGAAGGATAAACCATAACTTCTTATCATGAAGAAAATCTAAAATCAGGGAACATATGAGGAATTGTTTAGGGAGACTACTGTGTCTAAAATAGCCTTTTTGACAGGTGTTGAAGAGAAATGAGATAAGGTTAATCCACACAGCATGTCTGCTTACTAAAGATGACTCTCTCTGACAGGTTGTTCTGTGGCACCCAAAACAGGGAACACTCTGCCCTTCTTTATATTAATTTCAAGCTAACAGTCTATAGCCTCTAACCTGTACGTGATCTCTAATAAATATCTCCTCTTTTTTTTCTCACTGTAGGAGTGATAGTCAAAAAGTAGAACTTGTGGGCAGTACAGTATCCAACACCCTTGAGAAGGACTCCTCAGAAAGAAGCAGTGATATTGGTAAGTTCTGGTGCTTTTATAATTTAACTGTTATGTTATGTTTTTTATATTTCTTCTGACAAAATGGTGGTAGAAACATTTGTGGTCTCACAGTTTTGCTGTGCTCCAGAAAGAACGGAATAATGGGTTCATAATGAATTTTAAATGAAAAGTTAAACACATTTTTTGCTTAGTCTTTTAAAGAAAGTAGAAAAGAGAATTATCAAACTATTGGATATTTTGAATGGGAAGTAGACTCTGCTGTTAGAAGCCTGAAGCAGTTAGCTAGGCCAGATAATTAGTCTGCTGTGTTTTCTAAGGTGTATGTTTAGTACATTTGATATTTTTAATGTTTTAAAGGCTTGTATTTGCAAATGTAAGGGAAGAGAGACTGATTAAATTTAAAAAAAAACCCTTATTGCAAGCATCTGTTTAACTTTTAAAGTTAGCAAAGAACTGTACTGCATTTAAAGTAACAATTGGTGTCCCTGAAACACTTACAGTTTAATCGTGGAATCACCTTGACAGGAGTAAAGAGAAAATTACTTTTCTTTTCTTTTTCATTCCTGAGTTTGAAATCCTTAAGAGATGTGCGTTGAGGTTGTGGTTGTTGTAAGTGGCCTTCAGAAAGTGAGGTGTTATAGTTTATCACATTTCTGTAAGCAAACCCAGGGCCAGGGTCACTTGTAAGTGGAAGTATTCCAATGACATCTGTTTCTGTCGCTCAGTTCAGTAACAACTGTGAAGCAGCAATCATGTTTTTGTAAGAGGCAGAAACGTTGTCCTGAATGTAAGCATTTCTACATTTCATTGGTAGCATGCATTTTTTTTTAAGTTGTGGTTTCTTCCTAGAACCACTAATATTAACACCTTATGGTAAAATGTTGTACTTCCAAGAACCAATCTGCCATTTCTTCAGACTTAAAAGTGAAACTTTTAAATTCACATTTTACATATGTATTTTATATATAAAAAGGAAGCATAAAAATTATTTTGGTTAACTTTATGAAAGTGAACTTTATTATTGGTCTCAATAATCAAGTGTCTGCTTTTGGAATTTGTTGCTGTCAGTCTGCTTTATTTTAGCTAAGAATAAACAGTATTTTCTGCAGATTTCTGGAGGGCAAGCAGCAATATTAGAAATTACAGCTATATTGTACAAACTTTTTATGGCTGTACATTATTATATTTTCTGAATAATTTGTTATTAATGCCAACAGAATATGGAAATGCAATCATTTTGGCATTTAATGTATTTATTCCTTTGTATAAATGTAGTTCACAGCCACTAGGCCTGTGTGTACTGGCAACAGTTTATGGTTTCATACATAATATAATAGTGTGCTGCTCTGTAAATTTTTATATCTAGCACTGAATGCACTTAGTGCTATTTGATAAGAGCTTGCTAGTAATTTTGATTCAGAACAATATTTGTTCTTTTCCAGATTGATTTTGTTGTTGTTGTTGCAAAAATGGAAACAAACTGGTAAAGTTAACAAAAAGCCCCGGCCCCCCAAGTAAACAATTTGCACTATGTTGCATAAGATTTTTAATGCTGAACTTAAAGTATCTTTAGTGATGAAAACAAACTAAGTCTAAGGATAGAATAGCATGTACACTTAGACAAGTATAACATGATAGGGTCAAACCAGCATGACATCTACAAGGGCAGATGATGCCTTTCTAGCTAGTTAGAGGTGTTTTTTGTTATTGCTGTTTTGTTTTATTTTAAGATTATAATATGGGAGCGAGAATTGACCTAGTGATAATATTTACCTTGGATTTCTAAGTGGTTTTGATGACCCCTTGTTGAAAAGGTTGTTAAGGAAATACACAGCTAAGAAAGAGAAGACAAAATTATATAGTGACTTAAAATGGTATTGGCTAGAACTAAGTAATAGTGAATGACTGTCCTGAATGATGGACAGGGATTAGTAGCCCAGAGTGTGCCATAGCCTGCTGCTGTTATATTCATTTTTTGAGGAGGGGGCAATCAGTCCATCAATTTTTTCAGGTAACAAGAAATTGTTAGCAAAAATGATAGTGGATTGAGATAAATTTTAAAGCATTTACAGGTTAAATTGGAACGTGTAAGGTTATGACCTGGGATCCTGGTATTCTCTGATAAATAAATAAATCCCCAATTTTTGGATTAAAATAAGTAACCCAAAATCCAGAGTATTCCATGATTAAAATGAAACACCATATAGTGGTGTTTCATTTTAATTGGGGACTTTTTTTTTAATTAAAGAAAACCATGATCCGTGGTTATGACTGTTGCAAAACAGCCTTAACTTTGGGTGCAGACAGAAGTGACAATGTTTGCCTCGTCTGGCCACAGAAAGCAGTCTATAGCTGTGACCAAACACAAGTCATGGCTACAAACAGCTTCAGATATGGCCAATTGGGGGAAAATCTGAACCCTTATTGTATGAGGGGTCAGATGAAGGTATTTCAAAACAGAGTGTCTTGTGTAACTTCTGTCTGCCCTGCCTGCCAGCCTTGAGCTGTTTTCAGAATGGGAGGGTAAAAGGAGTGGAGGGAGTTCAGTCTGGGGGGTTTTCAGCCCCTGCCAGAGAGTAGGGCTGTTGTATTGGTGCCCCCCCATGGTGGAGGGTCTCCAATTCACCCACCCCAGCTTCCAGCACTGTCTGGGGAGCCCCTAGAACAAGTTCCCTCTGCTCCCTTTCCCCCCTCCCATTCTGAAACAGGGATGGGCTGGGAGAGAGGAGGTGCAATTATTAAAGTAAACCAGTTGCAGGCTCCCAGCCAGCAGCTAGATTCCCCTTTCCCCTGGAACTAACAGTGAACTTCTGTTTGTTCCAGGGGGTTGTTGTAATGCAGTACGCTTCCTGCAAAGCATTCTCACTTACAGTGGGGAGCTGCACATCTGTCTGCGCCCTTTATTATCTATACTGATGTACTCTAAGGGGAGGACAGACCACAGCCCTACCCTTCCCCTTATCTCCAATGGAAAGGGTTGAATTTAGGCACCATTCTCTTCCCAGCGGCATGACTAGGGGTCTGCTTAACTTAAGGAGGTGGCTGGATGATTTTGTGGGGAGATCACG